GTATTCAGTTTTGACAAGTTCATGGATTGCTTGGTAAGATAGATTCATTTGAAACTTCTAGTAATTGTAGATAATGGCAAAAAAAATTAAACGAGTAGGAGCTCCTGCTTTGGTGCTGGTAAAATGAATAAAGCCCTTGGAGAAAATAACACTTCGATGAGCATGACCCGACAAAAACATGCATTCTCCAATAAGGAGAGTGACTGGTTATATATGAGTACAACATTAGTGAAATGACACGCAAATGTCAGAAACTTCAGGCCCAGTTCTCATTTTCACACCAATGAGATATTGAAAAGCTAGATGGCTGGCAGTAAATGATACAGCATGCTTAAAGGTGATAACAGACTGAAACAGAGGAAATTACGCTTAACATGAGAAGTGAATTTACTATGCACGAGAATTTAGTGAGATTGGGACTACCTATGGTAGAGTAAAAGCCATCCTGGTAAGTTTCAAAATTAGGTGGTTATTACCACAGGTTGGTTTTATTCTGAGTTTATGAGCAAAAGAATAGTAAAAGAAAATGTTATTTTAGAAGTGTTATCAAGCTGAAAATACTGTATTTATCCAATAATTTTACAAGCTGTAACATGCCTTTCTTCAAAGTCAAGGTGTTTTGTTCTTTCACAATCAGTCTGTGCACATACAGAAAAATCCAATATCACAGCATGTGATATTGCTCTAGAGTTCCAGCCACTAGACTACAAATCCTACAAGGCTGAAACTTTCCAAAAGATTGGATAGCACTAATTTCACATAAAGCGCAAATATTTTTTTTTTCTTTTTTTTTTTTTATAAACAGTATATTTTTTTCCTCTAGGCAGATGAAAAAGATCATCTTATAAATTAAAACTAGAAGAAAGAAGCTAGAGAAGAAAAACACATCCCTTTTTTATTGGCGAGGAAGGAACTTTGTTTAAATATAGAACATAACAGCAAGGTTACATCTTGCTGCTTTGTCTCAGTTGCTATCTTCAGAAATAGAACAAAGGACTAATTTCATGAAATTAAATTTGAAATGTTTAAGGCCTTATTAAGACCTTGTGAAGTTTTTATATTAACACACTGCACAAAGCACATCATCTGTCCCCGACTTGCACAGGAAATCAGTTTATAATAGTTTAGATTGACTTATAGGTGAGAAATATAAGACTTTCTGCT